GCCTTCCTTTTCAAAGTAAAGAAATTCGAAATATAAAGACTGCAAAGGAAGACCCAACCGACTACCGCTCCACTGCTATGGTAGATTATTTCAGCAATCCGGCTCCTCCTCATTCAAGTGTCAACTGTCAGGTACGTGTTTTTATGTGTGTGCCTATACTTATTTCCTAGAAATTGCAGGGGATTGAGAGGACTTTGCCATGCGTTTTCGCTTACGGGTTTTGAATACTGCACCAATAAAAAGAGTTGGTAGGCTCCTAAATGCCTTGATGCTGAAAATGACGGAAATCCCATCCGGCAGGGTCTTCAAATGTTTATATCAATAAAGAGCCATAATTTTAAGGAAAAAACCGTCTAAAGTCAAGGGTTTTATTTTCAATTATAAAGTTCGTAATCTTGTTACTGAATGATACACCATTGAAAATGAATGCGAAGAGTGTAAAACCAATTTGATTTATTAGCTAGTGAAACCAATTGAAATGTCTTGAAATGTTGAAGTGTGGGTAAGCGGTTCGAATCCTAATTCAGAAATACGAAAATTGAACCAGGCAGCATTCTGTTTCCAAGAGTTCTTTCTCGACCGTAAGTTTAGGGAATGTATCTGGACTTGCTTTTTTAGCTGAGATGTGAACATGATGAATTTTTTACATTAAGCGTAGATTTAATCATGTTTTAGCCGATTTCAGATCTGCATCTCGAAGAACCGGTTTCGTTTTGGACCGATAACTATTCCAGTGTAACAGTAAGAAGTTATTAAATTTGCCTTGATTTGATTTGAATCAAAAATGGTAGTTTGTTATACGGGTACACTACTTTATCAGTTTGCGCAGCAAATTTTAAAGACCGATTTTATTGTTATTCTTTTAGCTGCTTCATTTTTACCGTTTTTCTTATTGTTCAACAGTTCACTTTTAAGTAAAATATTCAAGTGTTAGATCTCTTGTGATAAACTACAATTAGCCCAAAATCATTCATGTAATTTCGATTACATAGTCGCTCTGTGCCACATTTTCATTACTTAGATGCGCAATGCTTTTATTTGTAGGGCATCAGTCAACGAACCACTGGTGTGAAACCTTTTCACAAGTCATTCGGCTTTTCAAAATCAATGACAGGCAAAATTGCTTTGCTCCAACACCAAGGGTTGGAAGGATACATATCCAGACCAACCCCGAAAATCCACAGGGACCATATAAGTTGTAACTTTGATCATTCAGGCAAATCTGGCAAATGAAAGCCGTCGAACAGGGACGTGGTTGCAATCACTTTACTAAATGAGAATGCAAAACACCCTTAGGCACACTAAATTCGCTTATTGAAATGTACTGACACCTGCCTTTGCTTAGTTAATTATGAATGTTCGTTGTTGTCGAGTCTACTAATAAAATATACAACGTTACTGCCCTAATAATAACTTCTAACTTTTAGGTGTACCTGGAACGGGAGTGCTAGAAGTAGCACTCCTTTGAGACCATGCGAAATGGTTTTTTAATGCGTACGATACTATGCAAAAATTGTTCGTTTAAAATACGAAGCAATTCGGTAACGTAAATTTTTTCCTGTTTCATGGTTTTCATTAGTGAATGAAAACACTGAACGTTCGCGTGGTACTTGGGACTGCAAGCTAGTGATGGTAATAGAATGCATGACACCTAACCGCTTGCCACATATAAAAATGCCCTGAAGACGCTAGTAGGCAGCTGTTTTTTTATTAGCATTGACATTTTCATAGAATTCGACAAAAAGATGCGATAATGTGACGTCCGATTTTAAATTAAATATTTAAAAATCTGAACCTCCCTTAGTGTAAAACGTTAAGTTAGATTAAGCAGGCAAATCCCAAGAGAAAAAAAGTTACAATGCTCTGTTTTTTAGATGACCAGATAATTTCGGGGTCTGTTAAGCGATTTCGACATGGTTACATTCATTAAGCAGTAGCTGACGCCAAAATCATGAGCATTTATCAAGTCTGCTTTTGCATTAACTCAGTATTATTGGATGGACTTACATATGACATTATTCATCCAAGAATTAAAAAAGAAAGTTTTCAAATAAAACGCTAGCTTTAAGAAAGCACTCACATAATCAGTTGACTATATTTTCCAACGCTCCAATTTCATTCTCAGAACCAAAAAGGGCAGTCATGCGATGGCATCTGTGGTTTTGTATCATGTTAGATCGTTTTAGTAATTAGGTCGAAAGAGCTTAATTATAACACATTGCCATTTGAGTCCAGTCTTATGGTCAACATGATGCTTCTCTTCAGATAATTGACAAGAGTAGTTAGGACGCGCACGCACTGTAAGTTGAAAAGAGACTCCCATATAACTTTTTTGCTTCAGCAATGTAACCAGTAATATAATTGCACAATAAGTCGTAGTGCTGGATTTTCTACTTCTAAAAATAATTAAATGACAAACCTAGGGTTTGTGCATTCCGTCCACTTAGTGAATTGCTACAATGTACTAAATTAACACTGGGAGATTAATGTGATTACATCGATATCTACTATGCTATTTCCGACATGATTAGTCAGGGCGTTTGGGACTATTTCCTTCCTGAACGTTTTTTTATTAATATAGAGGAGTTATTGTAGAGCATGTAGCATGCAGACGTGATTTAAAAATTAGTCTCGACAGGCAAATATGACTTCATGCAGCTGACGTCTACACAACAAATGCTTAAATTGCTGAATTTTCAGACAAACATAACAGACAAAACATAAGGACTTCTTAACATGTCGACAGCAGTCGAATACAGTTAAATGCAAATAGAAATAATGGTTCGTAAATGACTGTCCGACAGGAAACAACATCTAGTCGCATTAAACAACCTTGACTTTTAGTCGACATCCAAGAGTTTTCAGATTTAATCTGGATCCACCAGCATATACCCAATTTTTTTCGAAAATTCGCATTAACTCATTACTAGTACATTGTAACTTTTATTAATAAGGATCAAGTTATAATGTGATCATGCGATCCCCTAACTACATTACTCCCAAAAGAGACATTGATATCAATTACGCAATTAGATTTGTCACATGTGAAAACTTTGCCCTACTGCTAAATCCGTGCTAATAATGTCAGTGTTCATCCAAACCCATTTTGTCTACTTTTCGTATAGGCCTCCGTTAATAATACCCTAAAATTGGTTTGCCTCAAAGCATAAAAGATGAGTCTCGTGTACCGAGAACCCATTCTCCGTTTTGCTACCTTGCAGTTAACATGTCGTTCATTAAACTGTTCCTGCCCAAGATTTATAAAAAGCTTTAGCGGTATTATAATTATTGTGTTTTTTGCACTAAAAGTATCATATGTCCTAAAATTTGTTGACCCTTTATATGTTTTAGTGGGCTACATTGCGTATATTTTAAGGTTGGATTATACACCGCTAAATGCAAGCTCAAGGAGGGATGTGAACCTTTAGGTTATTTTGGCCATTTTTTATCATGGAATTATCAAAAGAATCTGACGCACCTGGTTTCTGTTGGATTGTTGGATGTGCTTTGCCTACTAACGCGATATCTGTTTGTAAATATTTGTTTGACAGGTCTTCGGTATGAATATTTGCTACTTTTACTGCTTTCATTATTTACAGAATCGCCTCAAGCCTCAACTCAAATCAAGCCTTGTTAGTTGTCAGCTGTATTCTGCTGCACTTTCTAACTTATTTCATTCAGACAAGACTACGTGGAAATGTATGTCCTATTATTGTTCATTATGTCTATAGTACGTCTAGAAATGTGTGGTTAATGTGCATTAATGTAGTGATATTCATATATAATATATGAATATTTTATCTTTCAGATAGCAGCACGCTTATTTTTACATAAGTCCTGATCCACGTGAAAACGGTGGATGACACTAACTTGAATTTGCGGCATTCTAATATCCTAAGAAGTTAAACATTAGTTCACAAACCTTCACATTAATTTTACTCTTCAACATTTTTGTGTATTAAGACCGCGTCATAAAAATTCTCCCGCGAAATTGATATCAGTAAAGTAATAAAGTAGAAATTCCTGCAATATTAGTGCGTAGTTGAACCGTTTCCAAGTACTACTGACATCAGTGCTTAGTAAATCTAATTTCTATTAACAAAATCCTATTTAGTACATTCTGATCTTTAGCGTTTTCTGTGATTTACAAACAACTAAAGAGTATTGGATTTGGATGGTTACCGGAGATTAAACAGCTGAGTGACGTCTTGGAGTCTGCGTTTGGCAAAAACGAGTTTTGTCAAGTAAGTTAAATTTTATATTTAAATGCCTTTTACTATCAGTTTCTTTTGACACCACATATTTTCATTATGTTTATCCAAACAAAGTTTGTAATGAGTGTCTTCTAAAAGAGTGAAATATTAACTAATAGGATACGCATGTATGGCTGTGCACATTTCAACTTTCACGTTTAAAGTGTATGCAAAAACAAATCCCATTCCACTAAATTTACCAAAAACATCAATGGTTTTGTTTTTATAAATTTAATCAATAAGATTCAGTAGGTTGCCATCGAAAGGTATTCAAAGATGACAACAGGAGCGCAGAAAACATATTTTATTTTCCTCATTGGAACAATTTTAATAGACTGCCTGTTTTTATACGATTCTTGAGGGTTATTATAATGCTGAAAAAGCTAGTTAAGTTTTTTTTCTCGAAAAAACGTTTTCGTGAATATAAAGTTGCGAGCACTGTAAGTTTGTAAAATAACCCAACAGAGGATGATGAACAGTACATTGGATTTAGTACAAAAATAGGAAATTGTACGGAGTTCGCAAAGTTTGGTGTCAGGAATGAATACCCAGACGACGAAGCGAGATCGAGAAATGCTGGAATATCTGCTACCCCACATTCGTGAAACAAGAAAGAGTCCCTACTTGGAGCAAGTCAAATGATCTCCCATGGAAATGTTGTTTAGAGAAAACAATAGGTAAACTGAAACCATTAGTGAGAATGAAGTATGCGTGGAGGAAGAGATGTGTAGTTTGTTCCCTTTGGGGATGGATGTGATTACAATCATTATCGCGTACTGTAACCTCAGCTGTAAGTGCGTGCTTGTAAAGAACGAACCTATGCAGGGGAAGCATATGTGACTCAAGCGAAATGTAATGCATTGGCTAACAGGATTCAGATCGTCTACTAGCATTACAGAATGCGACCACATTCACCAAACATTGGGCGAACTGAAAAATAATGTCGGAGTGGTCTTTTTTCCTACCTACATCCAGCAAACTCACACAATGTCGTATCGACAGATTGTCGTTCTTTTTACTTGCCACATAATGCATTAATTTTGAGAGCAATTTTAATAAAAATCTAGAGAATTCAAGTAATTTGGTGTGCATTTGATCGGTATTTTGAGTTGCTGGCAGAAACCTATCTACCTGAAATGCTCCAAGTTTCCAAGGGGAAATCGGTGCTGGTAATTAATTGACAACTAATCTGTGCCACTAAAATGCCTAATGCCATCACACCATCTGTGGATTATGCTTTTCGGTCCAAACGTTTTGAATAAATCAGATCGATTACGTAATAAATTTTCTTTGGGCTTTGACGTAAATTCTGACTTGTCTAAGTTATTCACGTGCTTTCTTTTGGAGAATGTTAATCCGACCTAGACGCAGGGTAATGGAATGGATCATTAGTCCAATCTTATTTTATCGTGGGTGGCACTAGCTGTGTAATTAAACGATTTCATGGTTACGTTGTATAGTCATTGATCCAGCATCACGATCTCAATGTACTTATTCCACTCGTTGCTATCAGTGTTTGTCTCAACAACTCGAATTTCACAATTTTTTAAATGTTATTTCAAAGAAGATTAAATCTTAATCCACCACTTTCGTTAATACAAAATAAGCCAAATTTGCCACAGTGAGTAGATATGGTGCCGGTTTTCTCAATCTGATCGTTTTGCGAATCGCATTTAAAATGCTGCAGAGACATTTTTCCAATAAATTCGTGAGCACGACAGGAGTTTTTACCAAGCTCCTGAATCATAAGGCTTGCATTTGGCTCATTAACTTCCATTTTTTGATTACATGACTTTAGGCATGCCAACTTGTAAAATCCTATGAGTTCCAAATTGGGGAAATTTAAGTCGATTCTGATGATGGTGCCAAAATAAGAGATTCATTTGACCGCTTCGTTAAATTTTCGAAGTGGTTTTACGTGCACTCTTTCTCTGCTAGATGTTGTGCTATACCCAGGAGAGCTCTAAGTGTAGCCAGCAATTCTGTAATACATTAGTCAGTTTAGGAAATCCGACACGTTTTGTTACTGTGCAATCAGTTTTTTGCTTTTGTGAAAGTACATGAACGAACTCACTTAAGCGCTGTGCAGGTTTTAGCTTCGCCTGATTGAATGTCTTCGCCACTTCTTTAAACTCAGTCGTATATTTCTATGGCTTCACACGAGGACGTGGAACTAGGCAGCTATTTGCATATCTACTCTTGACTCCTTTGAGATTTCAAATTACTGTTTCGTGCAAAAACCAATGCAAGGGCAACCAAACTTATTGCAATATTTAGTTGGTTCTCCCTGTTGTTCTATGATGACTCCTCCAATATATTTCATACTTGTACCATATGAATGTCTTTGTAACCAGATCATGTTACTAGGAGCTGGCATTTTGGTGGAACAGCGGAAAAGGGACAGTAAATAACAGTCTTGGCATTACCTCTCTATCATGTTTTGAGAAAAATAGCTTAAGAATCTCTCTTGCGAGGCTTCACTTTACTTCGATATTCCAGTAAAGAATGGAAGATGAAATTAAGACAATACCAACGACCTTTAAGAAGTCTATCTTAACGGCTCTCTATGGTTAAATGTGTAGTCTTACGATCTATAGCAAATAATGCACACGTAAATTCACGTGATCCCATTTTGTTGAGTTCACTTATTTCAAACTGCTGATATCATCGGTTTTTAATTGACAATTTAACAAGTTTTTACATCACGTGGTACCCGTATCAGTAGGGGTAGTTGAAAGTGCTGTCGTAACATGAGCCATGGTTTCACTTTGAGATGTTGATAAAGGGGAGGGTGCGTTATTGTGTTGCCAATGTGTAAACTTACATTGGTTACTTGATATGTTATCAGTCTTCAAGTCTTTTTAAAAAAAATGTATGTAAAGTTCGATTGACCAAACTAAATCCAAGTGAGTCCAGTAATTACTTTAACAAACTGCTCAACCGATTATTCATTGTGTGTATAAAAAACTACAGTTCTTTTGGTTCATGCACTTGCAGTAAATAAACCCCACTGTAATTATTCTTTGTGTAATGGATCGTTATTCCTTATATATTAGTCGCAAAATTCTTTCCTAAATTAATCTATTAATTCTCTACAATGAATGCTAATAAGATGACTTGGTAGTCCTTTTTCATAGCACAAATTGTTTGACTGCCACCCTGAACGCTGAGGCCGCTTCAGCTTCCAGTTTATTTCCTTTTTATTACTCTTTAAAGGTAGATAAAAGTGAACAAGATTTGCTCATCAGTCGTCTCGGATTTATTTCGTTGCTTTCGTGCGCGGCGTATCACTACCGATCCCACATCGCAAAAAGTGTTCCTCCGAGCTTCAAAGACATTTCACAAAGAGGTATTCAAAGTATTTCATTTATTTATTTTAATCACAAAATAGAAAAAGGTTGTTACTTGTAGCATGAAGTAATAGGTGTCTGAAGTTTAAAAAAAAATAAATGTGGCATTAACTGGACCTCATCTACAGCCAGCTTTTGCTACTGTGGGCATTTAAAGGACTTTGAAATTTAGCATTTAATTAACATATGACAGCGGTGTCCTCATACGGTGAATGGCGTTTGATCTGCTAATCATGACCCCTCGTCTGAGGTCACAGGGTCATATGTGTCTTGAATGTACCTGGTGTTCATTAGGCATTTTATATGGGCGGAGACTCGTAGGGACTATCCACTGGAAACATCACAAAGTCCACAGCATTTGTGCCTACCAAATTCGTATAGTTCTGATTTGAAATTGGGTCTCCTGTCATGCCTCGGGCTTCTCCATGAAAGTCACTTGGACGAATTAATAGAAGCCGACGAGTGACTTCGCTGTAAAACATTTCGCAATCGTAGTAATATTGTTCCAGTCAATGTGTTTTATATATCGGTTGCTCTTTTAATATTTTAATGATTAACACCTCTGGAGTTATTTTTTCTGGAGTGTGACTACGACAACTTGATTAGTTCATTTTTAACACTTCGCAGTCCCCGTCTTGGAAGCGCATTTGGCAGCTTTGGCCACCGACCCAGATCCAATGCAAGAAAACTCGTGCCTTCAAGATGAACAGTCAAATGCTTCGTGTCTTTTCGCTTTACTCGAAGGTATATTGGGGCAGGGAAAGGTAACGTCACGGTTTAACCAATCTTTTCCGTTGTATCGTGTGCTTTATCTAAAGCGATTTGCTGATATTTTTGTGTCAGGCTGCGAAAGCGTTTTTTTCATGCAAATAGGCATGACTACAGATGTCTACCTACATTTTCTAGAGTTTTCAAGTCTTAAACATGCACGACCAGGCATAGAAGTCTCCTTTCCAAAGTTCCAATGAGAAATACCATCATTAGAATAGTTGTCAACTGAAAGAAGTTCGCTTAAATTTTGCATTCCTCTCTATAACAGCCAGCATCAGTAAATGATCAGGCAATTTTAAACTTGCTAACTCATCCTTTTAAAGGGGAGCGGAGGCAGACCTGACCCACCTCATCTCTGTTTAATAACCGCCGCCCTGTGTGCACTGCCACATTTCGTGGGCAGCACAACGGCGCAATTTTTCAACTTGGCTGCAATTTGTTCTGCCGCGACGCTGTTCCATTGGTTCACGGGATCTGAGTGGTCAGTCAGTGTACTTTGTGATGAGTCCTGTGATAAATCCCAGCCTTCATCTCAGATTATTCAATCTCCAATTGAAGTGGCCCAGAGAAATAGCGGTAAGCAGCTGTTAACGTTTCCACCATGGTACTTCCCCCTCTCATCTTTTATGAATGCGGCTTTTCGTTTACCATTATATTCAAAATCTTAACATATAATATATGCAAGTAATAAATTGTCCATGGGATTTCGGTTTCATGATATTTACTGCCTTAATTCCTGTAGCTGTTGTAGTATACATTTAAATGTATATTGACACATAGTTTACTAGATAACCCTATTCCGACTTCTTCTATCCACTTTGGTTTCAAATCACACAAGTCATGTTTTTGCTCAAGCGTACTCCTGGGGTTTGAATTTACCATTTGTGCACAGTGGATTCATTTTATAATGACTAAGTAGAACCATGAGTTGACAGCCCAAAATCAGACAAAATTTCCCTCGTGCCTTCCAAGCTTTAAGGCCTTGCATCTAAATTTTTTAGCAATTTATCATGTGTAATTTACACTTCAGGTGAAAAGAAGACTAAATTATATGTTTTGTCTGAGGTTTGTCTGGTACATTGCTTATTGGAACATCGCTTTCCTCGATATAGTGCCATATGAAAAGGTGATTACCGACCAAAAATCATTGGTTTAATACAAATTGCTCACGTTCTTTTTTATGCAAATGTTTACTTCGTCTATCTTTTCCTTGGTTTGTTTTTAAAAGACTGTTACTTCCCTTAAATAAATTTGTGCGTAAACAAACAGAGACTCTTGTTATCTGATTTTCTTTGAGTTCACCAAAATAGTATATGCTTGCGTGTTTTTTTTATTTAGTACTCTGTTGAGTGTTTAGCTTGAGACAGGTGACTAGCAAGAAAAACAAATGATGCAGTTCTAAATTGGACGATCTAAAAAAAAATAATTGTAACTGATTTCACCTAGTATGGTTATTTTATGCGTCACACATCGTAAATCACATCGCCGCCCTCCCATTGCCTTGGTCAAACAACATTAGTGATGGCGAAGCGGACTAGCAAGCTTAATATGAGCAAACTGCTGACTTCCTATTGGCCAGGTACCATTTCTTGCACTGCAATCGGGCACAGCCACACTGGCCAGTGTAAACCAATAAACAGTCACCTCGGTTTAGGGTCTGCAAATCGTGGAGGAAGATTCGCACATTGGTTTTACCGCCCTACCATGTTGTAGAGGTAATAGTTTATAGTTATACTCGTAATAACCGCTTGCTAATGGCACCCACTCACTATTATTCCTTTCGATTTTTTCTAAAACCAGTTTGCTAGCCCATTTTCTGATTTAGTTCATCTATTCAAACCACATGGAGTCCTGTGACTCGGTATAAAGTCTATGCTGCAAAATGCTGATTTCTATTATCCACATCTGTTTATACCTTTTCAGCCGCCCTCCGGAGCCTTGTTCGTTCGTCTGGCGGTTTCGCAAAGAAGGCGCGGCCGGCAAACCCAGATAGTATCCCTGCCGCACTAATCGATATCAGCACAGTTGAACAGTTGGTTAGCAGCACGACGTCTGACCCAGCTGATCCTCATACATCTGCCGATCAACATCAGGACGAGAGACTTCTAGATGAATTGGCTTGTAGTGCAGCTTTGGCCATAGTTGATTCGAATGGGGGCAATGTCAGCAGCGGTGTTCAAACAATACACGTTTTTCCCAAGCTTCCTTATACTTCTCCTTCACAAGAACCCGATGCAGGAAGTCTAAGCATGAATTCTTTTTTCCTGAACAAGAATGCTGAAATCAGCAGTGGCTCCAATTTCCACCGAAACCCAGTCTACGCAACATTTAAAATGGTAGGTGTTTTTTATCGTCGAATTCATTTGAATAAGTTCAAGAGGCATCCTATAGGGATGCCGGCAAATTGTGTGGATACAGTAACACCATCATAACTATTTCCTTTATTAATTTGGGTATCTTAGGTAGGTAATACAGCAATGTTCCCACGTACGCCTGTGTGAAGCCGATTTCAGAACCGCGAGGGCTTTGTTTTCGACTTTTGGATGAGTCACGCGGTGAAGCTTATTTATGCATCTGGTGTCGTACAACGCTGGCTTTTCAGTTAATCCAGAGTTGTATCACTGAATTCACCGGATTTAAGTCATATTTACATTTAACAAATCCAAAAACAGCTAAATCATAGATTGGTTCCTTTTGACAGTTTCATGAGAAAACTGGCCGACTGACGCTTTGAAGTGCAATAAATATCCTCTAGTTATACTCAAGTAGTTTTAATGGCAGGCAGTAACTCAGCTCTATATTGTACATTCCTTTTGGGTTTAGCCTTCGCCAAGCAAGGAACCGACTCAATCTTCGATTCCTCGTATCGAAAGTTCCTCGTGTATTAATCCAAGTAATGCAGGTATGTCATTCCTACCAAACCGTGCCTTACAGCTGAGTCTTTTAAAGTCTACCAAGTCATGCTCAACTATTGTTGATTTATATGTTTCGAAGAATAAAAACTATACCGACTCTAAAAGCCAGTCCCTCACTTTGTGCAGTTGCATGCCTGGGAGCAACCACCTCTAATCTACCAAAAATCTATTAAGACTCCTCTTATAATTAGTTTAAATGTAGACAAAGTCTGTTATATGTTCATCACATTTGGCTACTTAAGACCTAAAGTTTCTGGCTTGATTTCGGATCATGGTGGTGCTTAAAGGTTCAAAATGACACGTGCCTACCGCTAATAGACACAGTCATATTTGGTGCTTATCCTACTCTAAATTTTCTGCTTGGGACTACAGGACTACAGGAAGTTGTTGAACCGCACGCTCGTGGCAAGACCGCACCTGGAAATCTTTGGTATTGTAGCTTATGCTTGGGCAACTTGCGCAGTTTATAAGTTAAATATTCTTGACATTGAATATAGCTAATCGCCAGAATATCCATTACTTACCAAATGTTTAAATAAGAAAAATTCGCCTTTGACTCACAATAGTCCTTTTAGACTCTTCTGTCTCTTGACGGTTGTATTTTTCGGGTTGTTTTGATGACTCAACCAGCCAACACTTCGTTATCGTCTACACAGCAGCCAGAGCTCGGCACTCATTAACACATGCACAGTTGCCTCGGTCTAAATACCAGTACGCATGCGCGTGCGCGTGTGGAAGGAACTCATAAAGGTCACAAACAAATATTTCCTGCCAGGCCGTTTGCTGCACGAGTCTTTTACACCTGTGACTGACAATCCTCACTTGTCTAGATAAATCTGCGCCAGCATCCCCAGCGCAGGACGTTGTCTCCACCACCCAGTCCCACACACCTCAGTACAACCAACTGACATCAACTCAGGTCAGTACACCGACCTCTCGATCGTCATGGCAACGCAACGCCGGAAGGGGTAAAACAAAGTAAGTCCAGTTTGTCTCCCCAATTTTATCTGAGTTCATCTGCGTATTCCCAGTAGATTTTGTCGCCTAGTTCATGCAGCGAGGAAATTATTTAGGATGGTTAAATTCGTCTGTTTCTGGGTTAGGAATTCAAAATAAACATTGTGCGCCGGAATTCATGGCAATGTCGAGGAGCTGCTGTGTTTGGAAAGCAAAAAGTTTATTTTTGTTTTTTTTTTTGAATGACTTTCTATGACAAAGCTGTTTTGTACTCATTAGCAGAATTTTTTAGTTCGTCAAAGTTCCTTGACAAGCTTACATATACCTCAACACACAAAATATGTCATAATAAAAGAATTGAATCCTAATGTCAGGTTATTTTCCGGATCCTCTACTGATGTGGCTAACATATTTTCCATTGGTGAGCCGAGAAATAGCTTGTTACGTGGATGATGGATATTTATCGCACTGTAAACCGTTCGTATTAATTCGCATGAAGCACTGTGCATTTAACAACGGAAATGTATTGTTTTTACTTAACTAAGCACAACGTGACCGTTTTACACATCCCACTTTTCTTCGATTGTGCGCTTGCTAATCTGCCCATTGTGATATTTCTGATATATCTGAAATACACCCCTTGAATAACCTCCTTGTTATTTCGATTAAATTGTGCCTGAAAGCATTCCTTACATCTAATTAAAACAAAAACATCTTTTTCATCTATTCACGTGTGCTTCTCCGATTTGTTTTCCCTATGTTAAAAGCAGCAACTATCTAATAGACATTAATAAATAGTGCTCCTAATAATTCAATTAAGAAAGTTTGCTGTTATTTTTTAAATGTGGAAAAGCCATCATCATGAGAATATTTTAATGGACATGGCAATTAAGTCAGAACATTTCGATTCCACTTAAGACATCTCTGCACCAATTGGTTGCCGGATTAGCTTTCTACAGGCCCTAAAAGTTTGTTAGAAGGCTAATGACGGAGAGATGCATCCATTTCTCGGGCTGCCTAGACACATCTGTTTTGGGAAACTTGGGCGTACTGAGGTTTCCGTTTCGTGTAGAATGGGTGTATCACGCACAGCCGCGTAGGTTTTAGCTGAAGCGGACAACAAACTCTACGCGATTCACCCATTCGACAATTTCGACTGGGGGGGGGGGGGGG